ATCGCGATTTCTTAATATTTTTATTTTAATTAAATTTATTCTTCGCTTTTTATTTTAATTAAAAGTTTAATTATTATTTAATTAATTTATATTAAGACTTTTTAATATTATTATTAATATTAATATTTAATTTTTATTATAATAAATTATTAGATTTAATTTTTTCTACTTTAATCGCTATAAAAAGATAAATTAATAAATATAGATAAAAGAATTAAAAGGTTTATATGAATATTTATAGATATTAAGCTATACTTAATTTTAATTAATATTTATTTTATTAAAAAGTATATTAATTTTTATAAATATCGAAGTTAGAAATAAAGAGAATATATATTATATACTATTTTAATTATTAAAGAATAATTAAAGAATAATTATTTATATAAAAAAAAAAAAAAAAAAAAAAAATATACGAAAATTTTAATAAGTTATAATAGTTTTATTTTAATTAAATTAGATATAAATAATTATTTATTAATTTACTTTTTTAAATATCTTATTTTTTAATCTATACGAGTTATAATAATAATTATAAATATTATAAAAATAAATATAATTATATTAAATAATAATATTTAATAAATATAATTCGCTTAAATTTAAATCTTTAAAATTAAAAAGAAAGTATATTATTTATTAATATTTAAATTAAGCTAGATAATATAAAATAATTTAAATATTTAATATACGCGATATATATCTAAACTTTCTCTCTTCTCTAAAACTTTCTTTTTTATATTAATTCTTTTTATTATAAAACTATCTTCTTTATATATAGAATTTCTATTAATAATATAATATTATTATAACGATATTTAAAGTATAATATAATTATTAAATTATATATTTATTTTTTATTTATTAATAATTTTAAGTTAATATATAAATAGATCGCGCGAAGAGCTTAATTTATATATATTTAATCTATTATTAATAACTCTTCGAAAAAATTAATATTATTTTAAATTACGCGTAATAATAATTTATTTAAAAGTATTATAATAAAGCGTTTATTAGATATTATCGCTATTTTAATAAATATCGCTATTACTTTAATAAATATTACTACTATTTTAATAAATATTATTATTACTTTAATAAATATTATTATTACTTTAATAAATATTATCGCTATTTTAATAAATATCACTATTTTAATAAGATTAAAATATTAATAAAAATTAGATAATATATTCTTTTAATTATTATTATTTTTATTATATATAATTAACGCGAGCTATAGCTTAAACTTTATATAAGATTTATCGCTATTAAATTTTAATTAATTTTATAATTTTAAAGCTTTTCTTTTAACGCGTAATTTATAAGATTTTATTTTATATATATATTATATTATTTAATTATTATTTTTAAAGATTTATTTTTAAAAGATAACTTTATATTCTTATAATAAATAAGATATTAAATAAAATAATTAATAGAATTTAATCTTTTATTAATTAATATTAAGTATTATAATTTAAATATCTAATTATATATAAAGTTATAATTATAATTATCTTTATAATTATAATTAATATAAATTTAAACTTTCTATTAATATATAACTTTTTTTAAAAGATTTATATAAATATAATTAAAGATTAATATTCTTTTTTTAAGAATTATATACTTAATAAGAAATATTAAAAAATTTATATCTATTTTATAATTATATATTAGAATTTACTTATTTTAAATTTTAGATATAAATATCTTTATTTTTAAATAAGATAAAGAAGCTATAGATTTAAGATCGAATATTATTAAGAATTATTTACTCTTTTCTATTATATTTTAAATATTTATAATTATTAATATACTCGCTAATAAAAAAGATATATTATTACTATATAAATTTAATCGCGATATTAATAATAACTTTAGAAACTAAAGATATTAAATATAGAAATACTTATTAATAAGAAAAGCGTATTATTACTATATAAATTTAATCGTAATATTAATAATAAATTTAAGGACTAAAGCTATTAAACGTAAGAATATTTATTAATAAGAAAGATATATTATTATTATACGAATTTAATCGCGATATTAATAATAACTTTAAGAATTAAAATTATTAAATATAGAGATACTTATTAATAAGAAAGACGTATTATTATTATATAAATTTAATCGCGATATTAATAATAATTTTAGAAATTAAAGTTATTAAATATAGAAATACTTATTAATAAGAAAGATATATTATTATTATATAAATTTAATCGCGATGTTAGTAATAGCTTTAAGAATTAAAGCTATTAAATATAGAGATATAATTTTAATTTAATATAGATTTTAGAATAAAAAGTCTCTTTTATTAAAGTAGTAATATTTTTATAAATATATATCTATATTTAAATTAATTTAAAAGGTTTTATTTTATAAAAATAAAATATATAAAGTTATTAGATTAAGTATAATAATTAAATATTATTAATTAAATATAATAAATAAATAAGAATAAGAATATCTTTTTTTTAACTTAGAATAATTTTCTTTTATTTATTATATATTTTCTTTTTATAAAAATTATATCTAAACTTTAATAATATTATATTATTATTTATAAATTTATATCTTATTATAATTATTTAAAAGATTATATATCTTTTAATTATAAAGTAAGTCTTTTTATATAAAATATATATAATTGAATCGCTAAATATTAATTAGTAATTTTTTTTATTTATAATTATTAACGAGTAAATTATATTATTAGAATTATTTATTAATTTTATTTTTATAACTTCTTAAAATATAACTAATATAGAGAATTAAATTTAAAGTTATTTAAATTAGAATTTTCTTTATTCTTTAAATAAATATAATTTAAAAAATAATTATATTTATTAATCTCTATAATTCGCGAATTTCTTTTAATATATAAGCTTTAAAATTTATTTAATAATAATATAATTAATATATATAATTAATTTATTACTTAATTTAGATATATATAATCGATATAATTATATACCTTTTTTATTTATAATTATACTTTTTAAATTTCGCGTATAATCTTTTAATCTTTATCTTCGCGAAGTTTTATTTTTATTTTATTTCGATAATTTAGATAAGTCTAAATTAGTAATTAATTAATTATTAAGAATTTCTTAAATTTTCGCGATTATTAAGTTAATGACTTTAATATAATAATAATATATATAAAAGAATAAAATACAGCTAAGCTTAAAAATCTTAAATTTATATATATATTTAATTATAAATTTAAGTTCGTTACGCTCTTTAATTAGATCGACTAAGTTATCGCGAATAAATAAATTAGCGTCCGCAATTATTAAAAAATCTCTTACTCTACTTTTAATTATTTAATAACTTTACTATTTTCTATTAAAATTTTAAGATTTTTTTTTTCAAATTATAGATCGTAATTTGCGCTTTCTATAAATGAGAGAATTCTAAAATTTAGTCTTATAGTTCTTTGAGGGTAAGGAATTCAAATATCGCTTATTAAAGATCGCTCATCAAATTTGCTCGATAGCCCTAATCAAAAAAAATGATTATGAATTTAATTTATAGGCCTTTACTCGTTATATATAAATAAATTATAATTAATATTATAATTAATTATTATATTAAGAGATATATTATTATTAATTTAATTTAATTATAGAGTATAAATATAATAATTTTTTTTTTAAATATAGATAATATAAATATTATAATAATAGAAAGAATATTTAAGAAAGAAGAGAGTAGATTAAAAAAGAATAATATTAAATATTTATTATTAAATTAATTAATATTATATAATTAAAATCTTAATAAAATAAAATATTATTTAAAAATAAATTTAATTTAAATATTAATTAAAAAGCTAATTAGAAAAAAATATTAATTTTTATTATTATTAATATATATCGTAGAGCTATATATAAACGCTTTTTTTTATATTTTAAATATACTTTAAATATTTATAGCTATATATATACGCTCTCTCTTATATTTTATATATTTTAATATTCTTTATATACGCGATATATCTATTAAAGATAATCTTATTAATTTAATTAATTTCTATTTAATTTTATATTTATTAATTATAAGAAAAACTCTTTATTCTAATATTATAATTTTATTAATTTATTATTTTTAGACGTTAAGCTATTTATAATTTATAATTAATTTTCTTTTTCTCTTCTTTTATTATAAAGATAAAAGAAGATTTTTTTTTAACTTTATCTCTAATAAATCTATTATTATTTTTATAAAATTAAAGATAAGATTTTAAAGATAAAATCTTTTAATTAAAAGCGAAGAATATAATATTTTAATAATTTAATATTTAAGTAAAAGATATTATAATATTACTTAAATAAAAGAGAGATATATTAATAAAAAAGATTTTAAAATTTAAAAATAATCTTAACGCGATAAAAGATTTAATTTTTATATATAAAAGATTTAAATAGTAATTAATTTAATTAATTAAAATATTAAAGCGCTTAAACTAGATTTTACTTTTATATTAATATTTAATAAAATTAATTTAATAGTTTTAAGATATTAATATATACTTTTATTTGTTAGAATTAACATAGATGTAATATTAGTATGGGTGAGGTAGATTAAGGATAATAAGGCTATCGAACTATGTATGTAGGAAGGAGGCATGATATAGTAGGAGATGCCTCCGCCAAGGCCCGCTAGCCATAGGGCTGAGGGCTGAGTGGTGTGTCAAGGGTACGCTCGTAACACTACCCCCCCCTCTCAAATAGCCATGGCCCCCATGGCTGGTAGACCGGAGATGCACGCCCATTGCTTGCCCTGTTTCTCCAAACATCCATAGTCCCTGCAGGCCTTGACTGGAGAAGATTTGCCGAGGTGTAGCGATAGCAGTCCAAGTCTTGGCGATTTTCTGAAGAACATCGGATGGTTTCAATTCGTTCAAAAACACCATGTCCGAGGTTTTGCCGGGCCGCATGCTGGTCTTGACTGTGCCATGCCTGCCATACCCATATTATCCGTCAGAGATCCTGGAGATATTGGCCATATCTTGCCTGCGTGCCAGCAAGATTCTCCGAGTTCTTCTCCTTACCCAGTCTTCTTGCCATAGTCCTTCGGTAGAATTGAAGAAAATCCAACGCATGCATGTTATCCTTCAACACCTGTTGGCAGCCTGGCCTGGGAGCTTCACTGTAGATTTGCCCTGTGTCTCCCATGCTCTTGCTATCAAGTCTACTCCATGGTAGGGAGGTAGGGAAAGAATCGAATGTGTTGAATGCCATTTGGTAGCAGGCTCACTATGTGTGTTGTCGACATGCTCAGTGAAGAGGTCGGATCGTAATCGTTTTGCCGGGTCTGTTCCCGTCGCCATTGTAGCAGGCTCACTATGTTGTCGACATGCTCAGTGAAGAGGTCGTACGTTTGCTGCCCTTGTAGCAGGCTCACTGTGAGTGTGGGGGTGTTTGTTTGTTTGTTGATGTAGGTGGGTTTAGGTCGGAATTCATGATGTGTTGAATGTAGGTAAAGATGGAGCGGAGAGATCTCTGGAGTTCGTTTGTGATGCGGAGCGGAGAAGGATTTCTTGTATTCGATGTAGGGGACTCGTTTTTTGATGGATTGGGCTACCGTTGATAATGTAGGTTGTTCAATGTAGGTTCTTTCGAATGATGTAGGTGGTTTGTGATTTGTATGTGTGGTGGGGCTTCTGTATGGTAGAAATACCCAGCGTTTTCTTTATCAGGCTCGGTCGCTTGCTCCGAGCAGAAAGTGAAAAAACCCGTCAGTTCTCTTCGCCGGGCCGGGGGGGGTACGAAGGAGCCTTATTATAATGTCAGGACCAGCATAGGTGCGATACCAGTATGGGTGAGGTAGATCAAGGATAATAAGGCTATCGAACTATGTATGTAGGAAGGAGGCATAATATAGTAGGAGATGCCTCCGCCAAGACCCGCTAGCCATAGGGCTGAGGGCTGAGTAATGTGTTAAGGATACGCTCGTAACATTATTAATATAATTAATAATTAGAATATTAATTAAAAAGATTTAGTTTTCAATTTTAATATTTAGAATAATATAATAATAAATAAATAATATTAAAGTAAATTAAATATATATTATATTAAGTAGAAAAGCGTTAATAGCTAAATTAATTAAAGTTTTAAATTAATTAAATTAAATATTAATTCTATATTAACGTTATTATATATTTTTTAATATATAATTATTAATTATAATATTAATTAGAAAGAATTAGTTTTTAATTTAAATATTAAAAATAATATAGCGATATATTATTAAAGTAATATAAGTTTTTATTATAGTAAGAAAATAGAATTTATATATTAAATATTAATTTTATTTTATTTCTAATATTTTATTTATTTATATATCTCTTTTAATTTCTCTTTAAATATCTTAATCTTAAAATATTATCTAAATCTTTATTTAATATAGATTTAATTTTCTTAATTAATAATACTTAGTATAAAATATTAATAAGTATATTTTAATATAAAGATAATAATAAATCTTATTTTCTTTTTAATATTAATAATAATAAATAAAAGATATAATAATAAAGATAGATAGTATAAATTATATAGAAAATATTTAAATCTAATAGTAATTATTAGCTTATTTATTAAAATTTAGAAATTAAGAAATCTTAAAAATAAATATAATTTAACGAATATATCATTTATTAATTTCGAGAAGTTATATATTATTTTATTATTATTATAATAAGATTCTAATTTATTTATTTATAAGTTATAAAATAAGCGATATAATAGTATATATTAAATTTAAGAGATATATTAAGAAATCTAATTTAAGTATTTAATAATAAATAAGCTTAATTAATAATTATTAAAATTAAATATATTTTTAAACTAGACGATATAAATTATTAATAAATAAAATAATAAATAGAAAATTTAATTTACTATTTACTCTAAAAAAGATAATATTAAAATTCTCTTATAATATTAAAAAATTAAAAGTTTATATACGAAGATTTCTCGAATCAATTTTATCGCTAAATTATAAATATCGGTATTCTATTTATAATTATTAATAATTTTAAAATATTATAACTCTTATACTATCTCGATTTTAATATATAATTAAAATTAATATTTATTATAAAGAATTAATTAATAAAAAAAGCTATAAAGCTAGAGTTAAAATTATTAAAAAATTTATTAATTAATAATATTAAAATCTCTTTAACTCTAAATTATTAATTATTTTATAATTATTAATTATTTATAATAATCTTAATTTTTTTTATGAATATTAATTAATAATAATATAAGATTTTTATAGATTTTAAATATATCTATAATATTAATTAAAAACTTATAAATATTATTAATCTAATTCTTATAAAATATAAGATTAAAATTTATATATTTAAATTTATAATTAATAACGCTAATAATAATAATATACTCTTTAAAAATTTAATTATTTAATTTTTAATTTTTATAATAAATAACTCGCTTAATATTAAAGAATTTAAATTAAATTATTTATAATATATTTCTTATATAATTTATATTATTTAATTAGTTTTAAAAAAACTTTTAAATAATATTAAGATTATTTTAATAAATAAGAAATTTTAGAGAAATTAAGATAATAAAAAAATTTAAATTTAAATTTAAATAAGTATAATTAATTTATTAATAATTCTAATAAAGATATAATATTTCTTATTATTATTCTAATTATTATATTATTAATTATATTAAGATTTAAAAAATTATTATATATATTAATACTAGCGACTAGTATAAGAAGATCTTTTTTATATTATAAATTAAATAATTTTAAAATAAAAATATTTTAATATTAGATAAATATTAATCTTTTAAAAAAAAAAAATAAAAACGCTTTTTTAAACTCTTTTAGAATATTAAGATTTATTAAGATTTAATTTATTAGATATTAATTCGTATTTTACTTCTTCGTATTAATATTATATACTTTTTAAAAAATAGATTAATTATCTATTTAAGATTACGCTACGCAACGAAGTAAAGTAAGACGAGATTTTAAATATCTAATACTATCTCGCTTTAGATCGAGGTTTTAACGAGATAAGGTGAGATTAAGATAGAATTTTTCTATCGAGATAATAAGAGTATTCTATTATCTCGCTAAGTCTATTAATTAGATTAACTCGAAATTATTATCTTTATAATATTCTCTTTTAATATCTTATAAATATAATCTTATATATATTCTAAGTATCTTTTTAAATATCTATATCTTATACTCTAATTTAGATTACGATATTATATTTTATACTCTATTTTACTTTATTTCTATTATATAATATTAAAATTTAAAGAGATTATTTAGAGATACTTAAAACTTATTAAATTAATAAAATATATCTTAAAACCTCGACTTTAAGTTAAAGCGAGATCGAGATTTTAAGCTTTCTTGAAACCTTAACTCAAAATCTTATCTTAACCTTAACCCCTCTCGAAATCTCGTCGAGATCCCTTATCTTATTACGCAGCGTATTTAAGATTAAATAATAAATAATAATTTTAAATAGAAATTATAATTTAGATATTTAAATAATTTTTAATTAATTTCTAATAGATTTAATATTTAATTTAGCTTATTAAATTTTTTTATAAATTATAAAACTAATAAATAGAGAAAAGAAGATTATAATTTATTATATTTTTAATAATTATAATTATTTATTTAACTATATAGATAAAAAGCTTAGAAAATTAAGAAGAAAGAGAGTTTCTTAGAAAAAAGAACTTCTTAAAGCTCTTAAAATAATTTATAAAAAATTAATTATTTATTATAGTTAAATTTAATTAGATTTAGATTATCTATATAAATAAATTATATTTTTATATTTAAATTATAATAATATAAAATTAAAAAAAAAATTAAAAGATTAATATTAAAAAATAATTATAGATAAAGATCTATTAAAAAGTATTTAAAAGAATATTTTAAAATTATTAAGATATTAATATAAGTAGTTAATTATAAAGAGCTAAGCGAATAAATTAATTAAATAAAAATACGTTTAATTAAATAATAGAATCTAAGATTAAAAATTTAGATAATAAAAATAAGTATAATTAGTTTTAGTAATATAGAAGAAATAATAAGTTTTCTAATTATTATTCTAATTATAATTTTACTTCTAATCTTTATAAAACTTCTTTTAATAATTTAATAAATCTTTTAATTTTAAAATAATAAAAGAAATCAAAGTTTAAATATTTTATAGTTATTCGAATAATTTATAATATTTTTTATTCTCTCGCGGAGACTATTACGTATAAGTAATATTTTTTTAATAATTAAAAGATATTATAATATTTAAAAATATTATATTTAAAGTTTTATCGAATCGCATATTAATCTTAACTATACTAAATCTATCGTATTATCTTATAGAGATTCTAAAGATATAATTTATATCTTACCTACGTACTAGTAAAATTCTTCGAGTTCTTCTTCTTACTTAATCTTCTTATTATAGTCCTTCGATAGAATTAAAGAAAATTTAACGTATATATATATTATAAAATTCTTTTAACACCCGTTAATAGTCTAGTCTAAGAGCTTTACTATAGATTTATTCTATATCTTCTATACTCTTATTATTAAAAATTCATTTATTAAAAAAGAATTAAATATATTAAATATTATGTAATAGTAGACTTTATTATATATATTATCGATATACTTAATAAAGAGATCGATTATAGTCGTATTATCGAGTCTATTTCTATCGTTATTATAATAGACTTATTATAAGTATAAAGATATTTATTTATAACGATTTCTTTCTACTATTAATTCGCTAGTCGTACAAATAGTTCTAGTATCTTATTTATCCCTCGTCTACTATTTTAATAAGATCGTTTCGCTATCTTATTAGATGCTCTTTAGAATCGTTTTACTCGTATAGTAAGTTTCTTTAGAAATACGATAGCTTAACTTAATATCTTACTAAAGCTTCTATTAGCGTATTTCTTTAAATTCATCCGCTAATTCGAATAAAGTATATTCGATTATATTTCTCTTCGTCGAGTATATAAAGAAGTCTTATTATAATATTAAAACTAGTATAGATACGATATTAGTATAAGTAAGATAGATTAAGAATAATAAGACTATTAAATTATATATATAGAAAGAAGATATAATATAATAGAAGATATCTTCTATTAAGATATTAGACTATAGAATTAAGTAATATATTAAGAATACGCTCGTAATAATATTCGCTAAGCCTCTAAGTATAAGAGATATATTATTAAAATTAGACTTTAAAAGAGATCTTTAATATAATATATACGATATCGACGTCTTAACGTAAGTAGCGTTAAGGTTTATAATAGTATTAGATCTAATAATAGAAGAGTCGCTATCTTTAAATTTAATTCGCTTAAGCTTTTAATCTTATAGCGTTAAAGAGAATAAAATCTTTTTTTAATCTTATTAATTGTTTATATATTATCTCTTAAACTTTATATATTATTAATTACTACTTTTTTAATTACTTATTTTATTATTAAAGCGAGTTTTATCTAGAGTAAAGAGCTCTTTTATTTTTTATATTTTTTATTTAATATTTTTATATTATTATAATAATATAATATAGATAATAAATTAAATAATCTTCTTTATTATTTTTAAAGAAATTTTCTCGATTACTCTATCTTATAAAGATTTTTTATATTTTATATTAATTATATAGCGATCTTATTATAATTAGAGTATAATAAGATAATTATTAAAATTAATTATTAATTATATATCTCTTATAATTACTTTAATTAACTAGTAATCTATATTATAAAACTTAATAATTAAATTATAACTTAATTTAAATATTACTCTTAATATTTTATTTAAATAAATTCTCTAATTTCGTATAATATTTTATCTCTAATATTTCTTTAAATTTATTTCTTAATATCGATTAAGAGAGCTAAAGATTAGCGAGTCTTTTTTTTATTTATATAAAAATCGATATAAGATATTAAAATAATAAAACTATAATAATCTTAAAGAAATATAATTATCGATCTTTACTATTCTCGAAGACGAATCTATTTAAAAGAGAAATTACGCTATTTATTATCGCTATAAATAATAACGTCTATTCTATTTATTCGCTATAAAACTTATTTACTCGCTTCTCTATTAATAAATTATCGCCGCTATTTAATTTAAATAAGATCTTTATAAAATAGTATATTATTACTATATTACGTAGTATTTTATATATACTCGATTATTCGAGTTATTATTTAGAGTACTCTTTTTATAAAGAAATTATTATCTTCGCGAGAGATATTAATTTAATTAATAATAAGATTTAATTATTTAATCGTTAGAAGTCTAATTTATATCGCTTATATATCGAGATATATTTAATTTATATTCTCGCTATATTATATTATCTTTAATATTTTTATTTAATTTAAAGCTAATAGATTTTTATTAGATATAAGTTTATTTTAGAAGTTTTTTTAGAGTTAAGTTATATAGTAAATCGCTATCTATATATAATTAAATCTTAAAATCTAATTAATTATTATTTAAAATTTATTTATATATATAGTTTTTATAAAATATTTAATAAAATAATATTAATCGCTATAGCTTAATTAAAGATTAATAAAAAAGAGATATAGTATATATTTATAATAGAATAATCGAGATTATTATATTAAAAAAGTCTTAAATAAATAATATCTCCCTTATTTCTTACTTCTTATTCTTATTCCTCTTATCGTAAAAAGAGATTTTTAAACTTTTTTCTATTTCTCTACGTCTTATTTTTTTTAATATTTTCTTATATTTAAACTTTAATTCTTCTATTTTATATAAAAAAAGTTTTTCTAGAGCTAAACTATATAGTAAATTATTATCTATATATTACTAGACCTTAAGATCTAGCTAATTATTATTTAGAACTTATTTATACGTATAGTTTTCATAGAACGTTAAGCGAGATAGTATTAGATATTATAAAAAATAAAAGAAATCTTATAATCGCGTAGTCGAATTTAATTAAAAGCTTTACTCGATACTTCTTTACGATTAATTAATACTTAAGTTAAGAATTACTTCGATAACTATATATTTTTAAATATATTAAAATATATTATCTTATCTCTTAATTAATAAAATATAGACTTGAAATAATACTAGTAGATACTTAGAAATATATAAAATATATATATAATTTCGTTCGATAACTCTATAATCTCGTTAAGTAAGAATTAAATATAAAATAATAATAAAAGTTCTCGTTAAGAGATAATTATCTTTCTATCTACTAGTATATAGAGAGATATATAAAAAGTACTTTATATAACTATAGAATAGCTATTTAGAATTTCTTTAATAGATATAGTTAGATAGAATAGATATTCTTTATATATACTTATTATAAGAAAAAGAATATTAAATAATAGTAAGAATAATACTTATAGCTATCTTCTTAAATAGAGAGTCTATTTATAATTAGAATATAGCTATTACGATTATAAAATATAACTATTAATTATAAAAATAAAATATAGCTATTATAGTTATAAACATTTATTATTTATATATACTTAGCGTATATTAAATTATAAATTATAATTTAATCTATAATCTATATATTTTTAATATGAAATATAATCTAGTAAGTGAAAATATAATTATTAAACTAAATCGTATATATATAGTACGCTAACTTGAAAATATGTGGTTACCGAAGGGGCTCTAAATAAATACGCTTTTAACGAGGCAGTAAAACATAATTTGCAGGCACACCCCGGGCGTGCCGGGGTGTCAGATATGAGGCTTAAGCTTCGGCCCGAGGCGGCTACTTTTGTACTACGAGCAACACACGGAATCAATAAAAGTGAAGCGGATACAAACAGACTGAACGTCTCAACAGGCCTCACTTCTGAAGCACTATCTAGGGTCGGGAGCATCTATCTATATGGCGTATTATCTCCCCACTTCGGACGGGCTTCTCCCATCCTGGCTTCTCTTGGTAAGTTACCAATCAGTCATTGTTGTCTATTCCAACCCCAGCTCATCAGTCTGTCTAGGTCTCCGTCCTCTCCATCTTCAACACCCTCCAAACCTATCTTTCCCTCCCTTCCCTCGCCCTGACCCAACGTGTCTACAGTGGGCCCGCAACCAGGAGCAGCACCCAAGTAACACCCCTTTTCGCCCGCACCTTCGGCACGTGGACTTTCCTCTCGGCCATCGTCCGCTTATACGCGTCCTATCATATCCATAACCGCGAAATGTTCGCGCTCGCCCTGTGGACGTTCGTGATCGCCGTGGGACATTTCGGGAGCGAGTGGGCGGTGTTTGGTACGGTGAGATTGGGGAAGGGTTTCGTGCCGAGCGCTATCGTGGCTGTTAGCAGCACGGTGTGGATGGCGTGGCAATGGGGGGCTTATGTGCAGTCGGTGTAGAATAGAGTGTGAAAAACGGGGGCAGAGAAAGCGGGAGAGCGAGATAAGCTCGGAGAGGTTCGAGCATGCAGACTCGGAGAACTCGTGTTGGTCAATAAATCGGTGACCTCCGAGGATTTGCTCGCTCGCCGTACCTCGCCATCCTTGCACCTCAATATGGATGAGCAATCATGAGGAATACAAAATCCATCTATTCGAAGATCATAGGCCAAGATCTTCAACCTACAAATTTGAATTACAGTTCTATCCGTGCTCCGCCTACTGCCCACTGCCTACCGCACACTGCGACCTTTACGACTAATGACTTTCCGATAATGCATAGCAACTACAACAACTATTGAAAGTGATCACATGATCACCCCCACCGTTCGGATTATTCATGTATCTACAGGCACCATAGATGTGACCAGAGTAATGAAGCGTTCGATTCTGCATGAAAATTGTATGTATCCTCCGGCGTCCTTAGACTTTATCATATAGAGCGTCTGAATACTAAGCTCGTCTCTCCGGGACTGAATGAAGGATGATCAGGTTTCGGGTAGTAGCGCATCTATTTCACCTCCCATTATTCTCCTTCATTCGGCCATTCCCGGAGTAAGCCACATCAAACTCATCGGTCCTGAAGATACCCTCATTAGAATGATCCGTTTCGACATCATTCTGACTGGCGTTATGCTGCGGCTTATCCAGAGACGTAACTTTGATCTTCCCAAGCTTGATGTAATTGTCGCCGTGTAGATGCATATCGCTCTTCTTGAAAGGGTTCTTCGAGAAAGTGTTTGATTTGGTAGATCCATCATCGAGCGGATCTTTGCTTCTAGTGAAGAGTTGAGTTCTGAGAGATTCTAAGGTGGAGAGATTGAAGGATGCGATTCCGGATTTCTTCAAGAATGTAGGCAAAGTTGTCAGAGATCCAGCGATGATGCCGGTGTTCATTTCCACGGCTCTTTTGTCAAGTTAGATGGCGTGGTGGGGTCCGCAATTGGAGAGAGAAAACTTACGTAAAGATTGAAATGTAAGCCCCCTGATACGTCGAGTCACGAAGATGTTCCTGTTGAATCGTGGAGATGAGTCGCACAAGGCTGGCTACGCAAGCACTATCATTGTCAGCACTCCAAATAGTAAGGACGATGCTAAGTTCAGACTTACATAAGGCCGGTTCCGAAAAGGATCATTACCCCAATCCTACGACGTGGTGAGAGCTGCAGATTCAAAACCGATTTTATTGGTAGAACTAGGACATAGAGGTCTGTTGTGAAACTGAAGACGGCTTGAAAGACAGTATTCTTGTACTGGTTGACACAAAAGCTGTTCGTCCCAGCAGATTCTGCGGTGCAGACTGATTCGAGGGCGATAGCGCAAGCCGTGGTGGCAGTGTAAACAACTACCTGCAATCCGATCCCACCCAATATCCAGTACCTCATCGTTTGATTTACCGCGAAGATTCGGAAGTAGAGCAGCATGATAGATAATTTGATAAGAAATGTTGTTGGTTGACCGGTGACATTCTCTGCAAGAAGGACCTAACGGGTAGTAACATCTTAGATGATGTGGAGGAGACAAGCGATCAAGCCCGCGTACTTACGTGAACGTCGCTTTTCGTTAGTACGGATAGAGGGACATCCCACAGATGTTTTCCATATCCATGCTTTGTCTCTGCATCAAGGTCAGTCAACATACCTTGATTCTCCCGTGATCCTGGGGGCCACGACTCACGTTCGATAATCACACCTGTATGGGCGATTGAACCGGCCTAAGATAGAAACTTAAGATGATGGATATAGCATTGCGTGAAAGGGAAGCCCTACTGCTGCAAGTAGACAGGTGTCTGCGCTCGATTAGCTGGAAACTCACTTGAACAGTCGGGCCACTAACAATCGTCCCAGCCTAGTGATCCGAGAAGAAGTCCTTTGGAGTAGATTCTTATGCTCACGGCAACAAGCATTAACGCGAGGAACACCCCATTGACGGCGATGAGGGCGGGTGCAATAGTAGGCGGATTGATGAAATTGGGAGTGACTCCAGGCGGGGGTTGAAGCGAAGGGATTTCTGATAGAGGTACACCAGCAGGAATCGACATATTGAGACGTGCCAATGAACCAAATTTTCGTAGACAATGAGTAGGTGCAATTTACGAGACACACCTTTTAGATGAACGTGGTGTTAGAATTATAAGACGGGAGGACGTCAAGATAAGAGAAAATGGTAAAAGATGTTGTTCCTGTAGGGAATGTAGGGACTCGTCAAAGAGCCCACCATTACGGTGGGTGGGTGGTAGCGAGCTGGTCTTGCACAATTTGATTATGGAGCATCACTATCGTTTTGAATTCGGGCTAAGGTCGTCAGCATGGAGGTGACTGATTAAGGGAAATTCAGGTGAGCGGCCGAGGCATATGCAGGTGAGCGACGATCATGCAGATCATGAAATGCAATCGTATTGGTGTGGTAGTAGGGAGTAGGTTGGCGGCCATAAAAGGCTCATATAATGGCGGCAGGAGAAAGGCACAGCAATCTACGGACAGTGAGACTGGGCAGTGGCCAATGCACTGTAAAGTGGAAAGTATATTAAGATGCCAGCATGATGAAAACTTTTCTCTCCATTTTCCGATTCCGCCCAGAGGTGTTACTTCATGGATTCAATCAACATCGACGAGGGCAGATGGCAAGCAGCGCACCAATACCCAGAAAAGGACCCCACCACAATAGGTATCCTCTGTTCTCCTGCAACACCTCAGCCTTGTGGGGATTCATTCTAACACAACTCTACAGGAGCACCTGGCATCGTTTCTCATGACCATTCGAGCTCCAAGTATGAAGATTATGGACGCAGACGAACCAACACTCGTTTACAATGGTTCTGGCTCAATGCTTTCCTATTCCTCAGTTTCGCAATCGAAAGTCAGGCATTGATCGCGTTCCGGGCTACGCTTTTCCGGGTCGGTGTCAATGGTTCTACGCATCCCCAGAACCTCACTCGCCTATTCGCTCAACTCATTTGGTGTCTTTTGGCAGAACACGCTTATTACCGATGGCTTCCTCGATTTCCGACATTCTGCAGTTCTGAGGAGGAGATATCGCAGTATGGAGACATGCAGGGTTCAAGCGCGCCTCCTGATCTTGCGACAGAGTAGGTATATAGTTCCCCGGTTTGTGTTTTTCCTCGTGCTCGCAGGTGATGCATTGCCAAGACGACTAGCTACTGCCTTCGGCCGTTTTCATTTTGCATCCGTGCTTGCATGGATGGTTTTGCGCCAATACAAATTAATCTGGGGTGGGTGAAAGAGAAGCTGCCGAGGAAGGGGAGTTTTCTGCGGTTGCATATAGATTCCAGTAGTCGTGGGGCGTAAAATAAATCCAAGGCGCAAGCGTTTCCTGCTTAGGATGTCTGCTATCGCGTATACGTGTAGCTCCTATACTAGTACGTGTAGGGCAAGCATTAAGGTTTGAGTAATTCTACAGGCAATTTCACCGGTGAACCACAATTCTTTCAGCTCAGCTGTAAGGGCGAGGCATCAAGATAGATGGGGATCCTCCCCATGCTCGCCTCCTTCAAACAGCCCTTTGCATATACACTCACTTCCACACTCTTCCGATACGCTGAATCTTAGATAGACTAATCTTCCTAGGCCGTTTGAATCAAGTTCCTTGTAATTGAGTCAAGGTACCCGTTTAATTGTCATATAAAGTACTATGTCACTATTACGCCACTTTACATAAAGATATAATTCTAATTAAGAGTTTTAAGACGTAGGCTATAATTAGACTATAAGATATTAAAAAAAAAAAAAAAAAAAATTTATAGTATAAAAAGAATATATAAATAATAATTAGAAAAGATTTTAATATTAATTAATTAATACTCGTAAATAATAAGATTATATAGAAATAACGTATATATAAGTAAATATATAAATATATATTTAATATATTTAATATTAAAGTAATTAAAATCTTTTTAAATATATAAATAATTTAAAAAACTCTCTAGCGTTAGAAAAACTCTTATACTAAATAATATAATCTAGAGTAAAAGTAAAGCTATATATAAATATAAGTAGAAGAGAAAATAATAATATAGTTTTAAAAGAGAAAGATTTAAATAAAGAGCTTACTACTAGTATAGTAGCTATATAAATAATACTCGCTATATTTATCTATCTTCTATCTATCGTATATCGTATAATAATAAAATAATTAATTAAATAGCTATTAACGCTATAGTCTTATAATAAATCTATTAATCTATAATCCTACTATTATAATTAATACTCGTAAATAATAAGACTATATAGAAATCTCGTATATATAAGTAGATATATAGATATATAGTTAATTATATCTAATATTAAAGTAGCTAAGATCTTTCTAGATATATAAATAATCTAAAAAAAATCTCTAGCGCTAGAAAAACTTCTAAATAATCTAAAATATTATCTAAAGAGATATAGATCTTAAGAATTTTTTTTAATAATATTTATTATAATAAGTAATAGAGATTAATAATACTAGCGCGAATAGACTAAAAGATATTAATATTATAATAATACTTTAAATATATAAACTAGATAAGTAATAATATAAAGACGATAGAAATCTAACTTTTAATAATCTAGTAATTAAATCTTATTATTACTAAGATCGACGTTATATACTAATATTATAATCTCTCTATAAAAGAAATAATTTAAATAATAGCCCTTAATACTAAATAATATTAGCACCTCGCGAAGATTATTAATAACGATCTTTCTAGTAAAGAAGAAGCTCTCTAGCTAAAATAGCGATATATTAAATAAGACTTTAATTATATATATATTATCGTCTAATATAGTTATCGAAAATATAATCTTATAACGAAATAGATTTATTTTAAAAGCTAGAAGTATAAATTTTAAATAATCGTTAAATAATTTTATTAACTAATATATAAAAAACTATTTATCGAAGTTCTTCTATTAAAAATCTCGCTTATTATAAATAAACTTATTTATGTATAGAAATATCGCGAAAATAAGATAAAAGAAGATATATAGAATTATCTCGACGTAGATTAACTTATTAAAATAAGAAAGTATTTAAAGTAATAGAATCTTAATAATTAAATATCTTTCTTTTATATTAACTTCGTTATGAAAATATCGACTACTTATAATAATATATTATAATTAAAAGTAATAAAATATTAAGAGATTATCGAATTCTATATCTATATAAACTAATTTAAAATTAATAAGATATATCTTTATAAATTTTAACTTAACGCGACGAGTACTTAGATTAATAATTTAATCTATAAGAATATTTATAATTATTAAAAAGATAGATTAAATTCCTCTAAATACGTAATAGCTTATATAAAATCTTATTAAAATTATATATATCTTTCTAATTTTAATAGTAAGTCTCTATTAGAGAAATTATATAGTTTCTTAAGATAATACGATTTAATTATATTAATATTCTATTCTAATAAATCTTACTTTATTTTAATAGAGATATAAAATCTCTTAGCTATAAATATACGTTAGCGATTTTTTAATATCGAAAATAGAAAAGATTATCGATTAGCTAATTAGTCTTTATAGATATTTAGATATATATTATTATAATATTATAAGTAGTTATTAATATAGCTATATCGCGTAATAAAACTATAACTAATTTATATATAAAGAATTTATATAGTTTATTAATATATACGTCTTTATCGTAATAGAGAATTAAATAAGATTCTTATAATTAATATAGCTATAGCTCTATCGCGTAATAAATAATCTTTATTTCTTTAAATTATATATTTTTAAAATAATAATATATAGCTATTTTAATATTAAAAATATTTTTAAATTAAAATAGTCTAGAATATAATCTCTTATATCGAATTTTCTAAATATATTAATTTATATATATTATATAACTTAACTATTAATATAGCGTATTAAGATAACGCTATTTTAATATTTTAGAAAGATATCTTATTATAATAAATATATCTTTATTTTATATATAATCTATATAATTATTATAAATCTTCGAAAAATATTAAAAAGTTATCTTAAGAATATTCGTTCTAGAATTACGATGTTAATAATAAAAAAGAGAAAATTAATTATTAACTTAAGCTTCTAATATAAGATAATTACTCTTTTTAAAAGATTTTTAATTATAATTCTTATCTTAATTAGCTTATTTAAAGAAAGTCTTATCTATATATAAATACTATTAAATTTAATTTTTAAAAACTTAATTATAAAACTTATAATATTCTTTATAAAATTAATTTAGAAAGTTTAATTTATTATAGTACTAGTCGAATTATTAAACGTATATAAATATATTATTATTTAATAAAGAAACTATAAAGAAATTATATAAGTAGTAAAGTATTACTTTTTATAAAAAAATCGCGATTAAGATTTAAATAAAGATCTTTATAAATAAATTAAATAGAAATAATAATATATATAATTCGAATAATAGATATTATTCTTTTTAATAGCGTCTATCGTAATTAAAATTAAATAACTATTAATTAGATATAGCGATAGATATATATCTAAAGACGTCTTTAAAATCTTTTTTAACGAATTAAATTCTTAAATCTTTCTATAATAATACTATTATTATATTATTATATATAATATATTTTAATATATCTTACTTTATTTAAATACTATTATTAATTAAGTAACTATATAAGAAAGAGTAAAGGTCTATAAATTAAATTTATAATTTTTTTTTTTAATTAGAGCTATCGAGTAAATTTAATAAGTAATCTTTAGTAAGCGATTTTTGATAAGCGATATTTAAATTCTATATCTTTAAAGAATTATAAGATTAAATTTCGATTTTTTTTTACTTTAATAAAGTATAAACTATAGACTATAATTTTAAAAAAAGTTCTAAAATTTTAATAGAAAATAAAAAAGTTATTCTAAAATTAAATAATATATATCTATTTTTTTATTAGAGCTGTCGATAAATTTAATAAGCGAACTTTAATAAACGATATTTAAGCTCCTTGCTTCTTAATAATTATAAAATCGAATTTTATAATTCTTTTAATATTAAATAGCGTAA